ATGCAATTGTGGACTCAAAATTTTGGACATCAAGCAATGTCATTATTATTGACGTTTAGATCTAAAACTTGGAAGTTTTTTACTTGAAATTTATTTTTGGCGTCGATTTCCTAATACGTACAATAATGCCAGCAGTTGCAGTAAGTTTTTTATATAGTTATTATCTTTTTATTATTATTTTAAATTATTGTCATTTTTATTTAGCTGTCTGCCTAAAAACTACAAAAATCAAAATAAAAGTTGCACATAAAGTCAGTTTTACATTTTATGTCAACCGAATGACAAATCGTCCAAAATTTTGTGTCGGTACGTACATCTATTTAGATATTTATCTAATTTACTATAAAATTCATATTCTTTGGAGGGGCATTTATGATTTTTTAGCTAGGATTTTTTAGTTTAAAAGTGTACTTGATTTCCATTGCAAGTTTTTGTCATTGACCACATTTATGGGTACCACTAACCGTAGAAAAATGCGAAGTTTTCATTTTTTCATTTATAGCTATGTCTTATAAAAAAAAGATTGTGATAGGCCGAATCATTTTTTATGAAGAACAACGATTAACTAAAAAAAAAACAATCTCTTCAATGATTTTTTTTTCATAGTTGCCCCGCTAAAAAATTATTTGTTTTAGACTTCTGGCGAGAATTTGTTTAAAAGTAATAATTGTTTTGTATACGCTCTCGAAACAAGATGAGTCTTTGGTGGACCCAATAAAATAGTATAAAAAATGGTTATATTAGGTACTTAATACCCAAAATACAGTTTTTCAGAACGGATAAGTCAATTTAGGTAGTTACTATGGTGGCGAAATTTGTTTAATTTATAATAGGTGGAAATTTGTTGTATAATAAATTATTTTGTCTGATTATTGTTGCTATTTATTAAAACTCTCATAGATAATAAATAATCTTAGATCCCCACAAGGCACACATTTTTTCGAAAAAAAAAATGGTCAGGTCTACTAAACACGGGAGATTCGATAGAACTACAATTCCAACAAAATTAGCTTGTTTTTAAGTTCCACGTCAAATGTTTCTGCTTCTAGATTTCTAATAATAATAACTGAAAATTGCTAATTACATGATAAAGATGACCATAATCCGTCCTTTGCTTGGGTTGGTACAAGGGCAGGTAGAGACCCTCGATCCTCCACAGAAGCGGCGCTGGCAAAGCCTCTAGTGGTAAAAGCAATGAACTAGGAGGCATTTTTATATATTTATTACTAATTTAAAAACAACAGTGTTTTATTACATGGTGTTTGTTGAATTTGTTAAGAATTAATATTTTGTAATAAATACCAAAACTCTAAAACTAATCTTAGGTCTACAGTTAAATATCGTGACTTTTACATCAATCACAATATCTCAAAAACTAAACACTTTTTTTAAAAAAAGGCCAACGTATCGGCCTATAGAATATTCTTTTAAATTATCTTACAAAAACCAAAACTGATTACTTGATAAATGACTGAGTAAAGTTGTTTTCAAGTTCATCATTTATACATTTTTGTTCTTTTTTCAAAAATATATTTTTTTTTATCTCAACATATCGGCCTGTAGATTTAAAAAACCTTTATTTTGATGTATAATACATGAAATTCTGTTGCATATTAAGAGAGTAATCCTGTTTTCAATATACTAACGTCTCGGATCGTTGGTCGCGGACACCCTTAAGGCTCCAGACCCCCTGAAAGCTGGCGTATACCTATTACATGTAAATTTATTTCATTGTTTTTAGCCGCAAATTTGGACTTGAAAAGTTTCTTGATGTTTGTAGTGTTTCTTTAAAGGTAAATGGAGACCAGGGAAATATTCCCGCTTTAAATAAGTTAATAGATATTTTTTTATTGAATAAAATGTGAAAATTTTAATTATTAAGATTTTTTGATAACGGTATACCGTATTGAATTAAAAAAAAAACAGTTTATAGGTAATTTAAAAATACAGTGCCCTGATATAATGCGAATTTGATAACTGTTCTTGATTCTTTGATATAAAGCAAAAATTAAATTGAAAGTAGGCAACCAATAATACACGATCTTCTGTACCTGTAGCCATAATTTATGACAGGCCGGGCCGCACCGCAGGGTGTAACCCACAACATGATCGTTTTATTGCGTTTGTTCAAAGCAAAGATATGCATTTGCACCCCTCAATAAGAGAATTGTTAGTTCATTTCAAAACTTTTTTTTTTATTATTCATCTATTTAAAAATAAATTAAAAAATAGATAGTTTTAATATAAAGGCACTAAGACCAATACATAAACCTAAAAAATAAAAAATTAAAATATAATATTTATATTAATTTTACTGAGGACGGTTTTTGCTTAGGGATTATTATATGAGTTGGTCTTTACGGACAGCTCTAATTAGCCAAATTAATTTTGTGTTAAAAACGATTCTAGGTATTTGTGATGAGATACATATTATGTTGATCGTTATTGTGTTATGTGTATTATTTCGTTCTTTGGCAGTTTTAATATCGGTGTATCTCGCGCTAAATGGACATTTAATTTCAACAATAGCATTTTAACCGACTAATCCATCTGGTGTTGCACCTAAAAATGTTTTTTTTTCATCAACAAAAAAGCCGCAATTGACTGAAAACTACATTCTGCAAGACTTGATTTACTTGGGAGATCAGTTTTTTTCTTTTGATTTTGGATTTTGCTCGTTTCAGGTGAAGCGAAAAATGTTTCTCCTTTGCAGTTTTGACGTAAAATGAAAGATACATTTTTTTAAATTTTTTAATAAATAATGATAGTTTTTGTTAAAAATGACTTTGTTTTTTATCTTAAAGCTATTTCTTTGAGTTGCTATTTATCAAAATTATGTTTTTCAAGAGAAAAATGAACTTTTCTTTCTACTGAGCTAGAATCTGAATCTCTGAAATAAGAGAAACTCATGGATGGTGAAATTCTGTTTGTTTACTTTATTTCCATTTTATGACTAAAGGGACCAGGCACCATGTAGAGAAGGTCGGATGATTGACAGCTGCCACAGAATAAAAATCTAAATAGAGTATGCAACTTACAGTACACCAAATCTGAACAGTTCATTCGGTACCCTAGAGCCTTAATGAAATTCGTCAGGACCGTACTAATAATTTTTCTCCCTTTCAGGTGCAAGACAAATTAGTGCTTCTGAAAGCAGCCCAATAATTGGTAAAGGATGTGTCCCTGCGTTGTAGCAATTCAAAAAATAAGGAAGCCAAAGAACTGTTTGAGTTACTATCGACACCTCATTTTAAATCCCTAATTGACTGTCACGATCAAGTCGCGCGGATCAGCGAAAATCCTTCAAAGCCCGTGAAGACTGACATTTCGAAATTATTCCCAGCATTAAACGGGATGACGGGGGAGGCATAAGAATGGTGGGTGTCCGCAAAAAAGACGGCGAGCCTTAGGGTTTGACAGTAAGTTAACAAAACTGTGTTTTTTATTAGGTTTTAATCGTTCTCTCTTTAGGTACAGGTGGATGACAACGAAAATTTGGTAATAGCAAGGATATTGGAAGGTGGGATGATTGAAAAACAGGGCCTACTTCATGTTGGTGACGTGATTTTAGAAGTCAATGGAACACCAGTAAAGAGCGCTGAGGACCTACAAATTGAAGTGGCAAAGTCGAAGGATTCAGTGACCCTCAAAGTTGGTCAACCGCAAGAAATGGAAACTCACGCTTCACTCGTTATGAACGGAACAAGCAACGGAGTCGCAAAAAAACTTACAGTATGTTTATTTTTTTATCAACGCTTAATTTTTTTCTAACATAACTATTTTTTTACAGTGTTACATGAGAGCTCTTTTTGAATACATCCCAGAAGAGGACAGTCTTCTTCCTTGCAAAGAAATAGGTCTGCCATTCGACCGGGGTGACATTCTCCAAATTGTGGATCAAAGTGATCCTAATTGGTGGCAAGCAAAGAAGGTGGAAGGAGATGGCAGAACTGGTTTAATTCCATCTTTGGAACTGGAGGAAAGGAGAAAAGCATTTGTAGCACCAGAAGCTGATTTTGTACATAAAATAAGTATATGTGGTGCTAGGATTTCAAAGAAAAAGAAGAAAATAATTTATCAGTCCAAAAGCAATTGTGATTTTGATAAGGCTGAACTTTTGTTGTATGAGGAAGTTACAAGAATGCCTCCATTTAAACGAAAAACTCTAGTTTTGATCGGAACACAAGGAGTTGGAAGAAGAACATTGAAAAATCGTTTGATTAATAGTGATCCTGATAAATTTGGAGGAGTTGTACCGTGTATGATTCTTTTCAACAAAACCAAATACAAATTAGTCATTTGTTCTTTTAGATACAACCAGACCACAACGAGTTTTAGAGGAAAATGGACAAAGCTATTGGTTTACTGATCGTGAGAGTATGGAGGAGGATATAAAACATTCAAAATTTTTGGAGTATGGTGAATATAATGGCCACCTGTACGGAACACATCTCGATTCTATTAGAGACGTAATTAAGCAGGTTTGTAGGTTAAAAAATGTAAAGATAGAAAAATTTTGATCCCTTCAATTGTAGGGAAAAATGTGTGTGTTAGATTGTAGTCCCATCGCATTGAAAATTCTACACAACAGCTCAGAGTTTCTACCTTATGTTATATTTATATCAGCTTCAGGAATGGAACAACTTTTTTATATGACGTGGGGAGGAGTAGCTCYAATTTACGATACTCGAGCCGAAATCTAACAGTGAGTACAAAAATTTGCATAGATGTTGCACGAATATGATTTGTTAAAAAAATTGCCGGTTTTGTGAGAATGACCGACAGAGCTCGATACGACGTTACAGCTCCAGGTGAGCAAGGACACTAGAGTCGTTAGCCTCTCTGTATGAGGTGAGTATTATACGATGCAATGTGTTTTTTACATATTTGTTCACACAAATGAAATGCTATTTATGAATTACTATTATTTTGGTATTGTAGGAGGAAGATCTGAAACGAACACTTGAGGACAGCGCTAGCATGCAACGAACCTACGATAAAAATATTGATCAGGTTATGGTCAACAATGATTTTGATACAACTTTCCGACAAATTGTGGAGGCCTTGGATACTTTAACCACTGAACATCAATGGGTCCCAGTTAATTGGATWTATTGATATTCTACTGCCATATACAGGGTGATTTACGAGGAATAATGAGCCTGACCAAATTTTTGATGCAACCAACATTACAGTTGTCTCAAAATAACTTGCGAAGAGTAATGGTGGTTCATCGAGAATTTGGTCAGGCTCATTATTCCTCGTGAATCACCTTGTATTATAAGGAATCTTTCTTTAATTCTAGGATTTTATAAAATATCCCAAAATGTTTTTATCTGAATTGGAAAAAGAATCTCAGATATTATACAGGGTATTTTACGAGTAATAATGAGCCCGACGAAATTGAAAATACAACCCACAATAGATTTGCAGAGTTAACGTGGAAATTTTAGATATCACATTGTTTGAAAAACTGTTTATGAATCCACGATAGCTTTGCTTTCAATAATTTTATTTGTCACAACTGACATCAAATTTAGCAAAAAGTCAAAATGCATTCGAACGATGAGAAATCAGATCTGATTCTCATTTATGGCGAATTTGGGGAAATATGCTTCTGCCGTTCAGCCGCAAAGACAATGGGTGGTATGAATAAAAATGAAGTAAATGCTAATGCTTCAAAAACGTAGTAAATTCTTCAACAAAATTCTACTCGCTGAAGAACCCACTTTTACTCAAAGTATTTACTTTGAATTTTCCGGAAGATACTAAATCCGTAGTATCTTCCATGAAAATTTTTGTAGTAGCTACTAAACAAAAAAGTATATGCTAATACTTCGATTTTGCGCCTATTTGTAGTACATTCTTCACTTTTAATGAAGTTGCTGTTACACGAACTTTGAGTGCATACTAGGCGACTATTTCTCATTTTTTTCGAAAAATGGAGCCACAACGTAGCAGGAAGATGTACATAGTAAGAAGAAATTATGATGATAAAACCTACAGAAAAATATTTAGGTAACACTTTGCGAATATACTATATAAAATTTTGTATTTTTGCTAGAAATACATTATCACATTACTAAATACATACTGTAACGTTTTTGTGCGCTTTTTGGCAAACCAATTTATTGATGAAACGGAAGAAACACGAGGTGGAGCTCTTTCAAATATCTAACAAATGGAAGTGTTTTTACGAAGTTTGGGTAATTACTACAAAATTTTATATCCTTATAAAATATCGAAATGTGTTAAATTCAAGCCGATCCAGGTTTTCAAGAAGGCGTTGGAATTGACGTGTTAATCAAACAACTGTTTCGAAAACTATAAAGAATTATAAAGAAAGTATCAACTTTGGTTTGCACAAAAAAAGTGTTTGGATCAAATTCCCTGAAACAAACGAACAGTTAAATGTAGCAAAAGAAGAGTGGGCTCAAAACAATATTATTACCAACGTTATAGCAGCGATTGATTGTACCCACATCAGAATTATATAGAAATAAATAGAGTCAAAGTGCAAAATTTAAACTCTCATAACTTCTAAATTTTTATAGTATAGTATATAGAAATGCTCGCTGAATGTTTTAGAAGATTTATGTTTGTTTTATTAGTGGTAGGTACTACCAAAAAAAAAAAAAAAACTGGACTTTAAATAGATAAAAGATCGTTTAAAATGTAAAAGTATTGTTAGCTTTCAACTTCCTTTGCTTATTTGTACACTAGCCTGAAATTAATTTTATATTACATTTATAAAATACATCACAAGTAGAATTAGTTAAATATGACACATTAGTAGTGATATGTAGCTATTCCGGAGAGATTTTTACACAAAAGAAGGTACAAAGTCAGGCAACATCGAATAACTTTTCACAGTTTAGTCAGTAAGTAAGCCTTAAATGCCTAACTATTATTAAGTGTATATATTTGAACTGAGCAAAAGATATGAGTCACCCGTACTATGAAGTAGATTGCAGAACGAGTTCAAATTTATTTGATTAACTCTTCTGCAATTAGATAGATTATTAGAATTAGATTGTTATTATAGGTGCTTTATATTGTATCATTTTAACCGTCCAAGTGTTCAGGGAAATATGTTTTGATGAGATGATTTACCTATATTCAATGATCTTTTGTAATTATATACATTTCTTTATACATACTTACATCATACTTAGGTATAGTTTTAATGTTTAAAATATTGTTTTCAAATATAATTTTTATTTAGTTGTGACAATTTTTAATTTGTAGTTTATTCGGTTGCGCAAATAAAAATAGCTCTTTAAATATTTTGTTTCATTATTCAAGGAAAATACATATTTATAACTTATAAAATAAATAATTTGGGAGATAAAGATTTCCCGCTTAAAAATATTTTTATATTAGAGAAATTTAACACAGCACTCACATGTTGCTAGTTTTAGTTCAAGTTTGCGTAAAATTATATTTCGAGTTTTTTTTTAGTATCAAAAATTTAAATTTCGCGCGTTAAAATTTATTTCCACAAAAATCAATAGGCGCCTCCCACATGTATGCACATAGAATTGTATGCATTTAACCACGTGCGTTTTGACAGTGTATCGTTTGTTTGTGATGAAAATAAAATTAATGGTAATATGCGAAATATTCATTGTAGTTACATCGTTTTTGTTTTTCAATGTATTTATTTTAAAATATGACGAGAAATTATGGTGTTTTTGTTTTTCAATGTATTTATTTTAAAATATGACGAGAAATTATGGTGAATCATTTTAGTGTTCCGATTATTAGACTTCCATCTCTCAAAACATAACCTCACTTTCACTACATGTTTTGTTAGTTTAATAACTACTATATTTATTCCAGATTAAATTTTTCAACCGGAACGATAAGTGCACACGGTGTTTTCAACAAATACTTTTTTGGGCTTCAAGCAAAAGGTCTCCAAGCGGCAAAATTGTTTACAGTTTAGTGGTTAAAAGTGAACGATTTTGTAGTAACCGTATTAGTGGAGTGTTTAGTGTTAAAAGTTGCAGATATACTTTCGGAATTATGAATCAAATTACGGGAAGTGCGGATTCTACATTTGGTAAACAATCGGCATCCGTCTACACACAGTGCGGTGATGTGTTGACGGTTGACGAGGAAAACATTCTTGTAACGGTTAAAAGTTACTCTCCGGTGAGGGACCTTCTCCCCTGCGAAGACGATGCTAATGAGATGAAGGTAAGCGATTTTTATAAATAAAAATTTTGGGCGCAATAAACTGGGGTGACTTTTTTGCATTTGAAAGTCTGTTTTTCTGAATTCGTCTATAAAGTTTACGAAATAGTCTGGAAGGTTACCCAAAATAGCCCGTAAAGAAATACAGGGCGAATCATTTATAATAAAGACCCTAACCGATTTTTAGACGCAACCCGAAATACATTCTCACAGATAACTTGGCATTAGTTGTATAAGAAAAATTTTGTTTAATAAATTCGAATCAAAGTAGTTGTTGATATGTCACTCATTAAATTTGACAGTGTCATCAATTCCATTTTTTTCCTTTGAATTCAAAATATACTCGTTTTCATATTAATGTGCATCGAAGTAGTCGTTGAAAGGGATCATTTTAAGGTGGCAACCATGCGAAAATTCAAACAATCCTAAACTCAATCCTCCCTAAAAATTATTTTTTCAAATAAATGTGTACCCCATGTAGCAAAAAATACTTAAAATTAACAACGTAATCAACATAGGTTAGCAAACAAAGATTTTTGTCATTATTGATGTGAATAAATTTGTTTTGAATGACATTAATGACACTTTTTGTGTAAATCGGACTTTAAATTAAAGATTCATTTAGACTACAACCTACTTGATGCACATGAATATGAAAAAGAGTATACAGGCTGTTTGTGGATTGCGAGCAAATATTTTAACCACTAAGAGAGAATAAAATATGAAAAGTCGAATTGAAGACCAAACAAATTCCGTATCCAAATTTTATTTTTGCAATTTCCCCCCTATGATTTTCACGAGCCGTTCAGTGTGTCTGTCCTTGTTAGTTGGAAGTAAAAATATCAATGAAAATAAATTGCATTGAATGTTGACCGTGAAAGTTTTTATACAGAAAAAAGGAAACTTTTTGTCCAAAAAAATTATCACTTGTTATAACGTATACGGTGACGTAAAAACATACAGCATGTCCCAAAAGCAAACCGCTCTGCGTCAAGCAGTGTTAGAAAATGTCGTTCTGAGAAAAAAAGTTAATGTTTTTTTTCTAACTTCGTTTTTTATAGAGTTACAGTTTTGCAAGGAGTAAGAATAAAATTTGTACAAGTGGTATCTTGACTTAAGGCTCCAGACCCCCTGAAAGCTGGCGTATACCTATTACATGTAAATTTATTTTATTGTTTTTAGCCGCAAATTTAGACTTGAAGAGTTTCTTGAAGTTTGTAGTGTTTCTTTAAAGGTAAATGGAGACCAGAGAAATATTCCTGCTTTAAATAAGTTAATAGATATTTTTTTATTGAATAAAATGTGAAAATTTTAATTATTAAGATTTTTTGATAACGGTATACCGTATTGAATTAAAAAAAAAACAGTTTATAGGTAATTTAAAAATACAGTGCCCTGATGTAATGCGAATTTGATAACTGTTCTTGATTCTTTGATATAAAGCAAAAATTAAATTGAAAGTA